TGTGTGTGTGTTGTGTGGGCGTGGGCGTGTGTGCACATGAATGTGCTTCCCTTCTCTGGGGTCACGTAGTCTGGTTCTGCCTGGTTTCCAGTGCTCAGTGTCTGGAAACAGTTGTTGCACGCAGTGGGATCTGTTGTATACTTGTCTGTGGTGTGGGGCTGTACTTACTGCCATCTATTACATCTGGCTGGAAAACGGAAACTGACACAGTCCTTGTTTAATTATCTTTAGTCATGTGTCTTGTTACAATTTAGTAAGTTTTATCTCTCCATGAAATTCCTCTATGGTACATCCATACGGCCTATAGATGGGAGCTATGATCAGTCTGTTAGAGTTCACTAAGCTTCTGAGATATGCAGGTTTTGCAAGCTTTTGGTGAATGTTCAAAGTTTTAAAAAGTTGATTTAGACACTTTTTCTCAGTGTTCTCATTGCTAGTATGGTTAATTAGGTTTTCTGATGTCCTTACTGTACCATTCCTGAAGTGGTTCTGGAGCACCTCTTTTGAAAAAAATGAAATAAAATCCTGAATTTCAGGCCTAGGGCTATCAGGGTGACCTTCATGGCAATTTCTTTTTTTATTATTCTTTGGTAGATTATTGCATATCCATTGTCAACTTCACTGCGGTGAAGTCAGTTCCATGTCCTTGTCCTTTACTCCCGTAACCCAGGCTATGAATACCTGAGAAAGCCTCTGGAAACAGCCAAAGGTTTTAAAGCTTTTCCTCTCACTATCTACAACTTTTCGTTATCTCCATGTGGTAGCATTGGTAGCAGAATAGAGAAAACAGTTTTTGTACCACTTCCCCATTCATCTGGGTGACTGTGCTTAACCAAACGTCTCATCAATGCTATAAGATACACCACAGATATAGTCGGCTTNTCCATGTGGTAGCATTGGTAGCAGAATAGAGAAAACAGTTTTTGTACCACTTCCCCATTCATCTGGGTGACTGTGCTTAACCAGACGTCTTATCAATGGTATAAGATACACCACAGATATAGTCGGCTTCGTCCTCAGACTGGATGTTGGAGATGGTTAAGTAGCGATTAGCCCCAGAGCTGGAGCCTGAGAAGCGATCGGGGATCCCGGCACCCTTGCTGTGGCTTCCATCACTCTTAAGCTGCATCACGTACCGAGGGCCCTTCCCTGGCTGCTGCTGATACCATTCAATGATGTAGGTGCTGTGCTCACTGCTCAGAGTGCAGCTGAGCTTGGCTGAGGCTCCCAGGGAGGCAGATGCAGGGGACGACTGAGTCAGCACAGGCTGGGAGAAGGACCCTGAAAACACAGAAAACTTTT